TTAATTATATTTACCAATAATAATAAACCAAATAATTTCCCCCATATATTCCTCCAAACCACAACTTAACCATTTCTGCTTTCAACACAATATACAATTAATAGTATCTCAATTATTACAATTCCCTAGTTAAATAGAGCTTTTTTTCTTTTGTGTTTTAAAATCTTGAACTCCTCTTTTGCCCTAAATTTCCCATTTTTTGCACCTACCTTTTATGGTGAGGAAAAAGAAATCTGCTGCCTGATTTTCCAACGTTGCAGCAAACAGCAAAGCCAACAGCCTGTTTTACTTTCAGTTTCGTTTTGAGCTTGGTTTGCACAAGGAGAAAAAAAAATCTGCTGCAGCAATTTAGCAAGTGGCAGAGCCCTGCGCAAAACAGCTGAGAGCAAATCAGCTGAGAGTCGGGAGGTAGATCTAATCAACGGGCTAATTAGCCTATGCTGAAGCTCTGCGGGCCAATAAAATTACAAAAAAACACCGAACCATTTGTTAAATTGCTGGCTCGCCCGCCCCTCGCCCACCACTATTTATTGGCAATAAATAGTGGTGCGGAGGGGCGGGGTAAGGGGTGGGGTGAGCCAGCAATTTAACAAACAGTTCGGCCAAACCGCCTAGAACCGGCAGAATCCCACCACTGGATCTGTTCCATAATCAGTTCCTGATCAATTCTTTGGTGTTATAATAATATAATCAATTTGATTTCTGTCTGATTTATCTGGTGATATGCATGTATATCAGTGGTGGGTTTCAAATTTTTTACTACCGGTTCTGTGGGCGTGGCTTGGTGGGCATGGCAGGGGAAGGATACTGTAAAATCTCCATTTCCTCCCGATCACCTGGGACTCAGGAGGCAGAGAATAGATGGGGGCAGGGCCAGCCAGAGGTGATATTTACCGGTTCTCCGAACTACTCAAAATTTCTGCTACCGGTTCTCCAGAACTGGTCAGAACCTGTTGAAACCCACCTCTGATGTATATAGACATTGTTTTGGTTGTTTGGGTTACCAATGAAATAATCATTGGATTGGAGGAAAAGGTGATTTCCTGTTTCATTTCTGTTTTCTAGGCCATAACATCCAACTACATTTTCTTTCAAACTATTTCAGTCACCAGTCACAAGCAGCACATCTTGCTTACATGTTCTATCAATTTCAGGTTGAATTTGATAATAAAACCTTTTACTCTAATCTCTTCTTCCTCTGCATCAATGGTTGAAGCATACACTTGGATAATCATCATATTAAAGATTTACCTATGTATTCTAATTGATATTTATTTTGGTCATTGATTGCTTTGTACCCAATTTTTCCTAATAATGGAAACTTTAATACATACATGCAAAGATACAGGGACAGCATTTTACACAAGCTATTGAACTTGGAAAGGATTAGTAAAAATGTTTTTAGGAAACATATAATTAGGGTTCTAGAATGATCTTGTTTTTCTAAAGTTGTGAGTTCATTTTATTTTTATTTTCTTGCTTTGGGTTGAAATTTTCTATGATAGAAAATATTAGGTCCATTTAAATATTTTGCTTTCAGTTAGAGTCAACAAGCCATTTCCTTTTATTTGTAGTTAATTTTCATTGGTTACTACCTTTCCTACAAGTTTTCCTGTCCCAAATATCTTCCCATTTGTTTATCTGAAAGTACCCTTGTGTGATTCTGATGAAAAATAGGCAGGGGGCAAATAAAGTGAAAAATGAACATTAAGACTTAAGGAATATATTTGTGCATTTATCCTGCAAAAAATGACTTTTAACAATGGCATGTGTTTATTCATAATTTCTTCTATAACATTAGCACCAGAAAGCAGGTGTCACAGAAAAAGACTTGTTCTGCCATAGGGCAGAACAAAGAAATAATGGAGTTAAATTACAGGAAGGTAGATTCTGGTTAAATATTAAGAAAAACTTCCCAATGGTAAGAATAGCTCAATGATAGAAACAATTACCTCAAGAAATAGTACACTCTCTTTCATTATCTGGAATGAAATGGAAAATAATCTTTTGGCCATATTTTAATATGAATTTCTATATAGAACTGAGCTTGGAGTCGGTGGCTTAAATGGCTCCATCCAACTCTATCATTCAATGATTCTTTGCTAAAATATGGGCATTTCATTAAGCATTATTACAATATTGTTAGGAAGAAAAGCAACATTAATAATTTAAATATATATATATATATATATTTGAAAATATCAGAGCAAGAAGTGGCCAATTAACTCTAGGTTTTACAGATATCTAACACTTTAAATTCTTTCCAGTCTAGATTGAAAGCATAATTTTAGTTGTAGTCAGTTTAAGATAATGTTTCTTGGCAACTTCAAGATGTGTGGACTTCAATTCCCAAAACTCCTCAGCCAGCATGCTGGGGATGGATACTCACTTGCTTCTGATCCCAAAATATTCATCCACTGCATCTGAATGGGGATTGAAACCATAGGTTTCTTTTAACATAGTTCCAGAACAATACAACTGTGTGTTCTCAATATCACACATTTTCACACAGTGACACAAATGAGACATTTGTCATTTATATAATACTATCCTGATGTGTATGACACCAGTCTCCTGTTAAATCCAACCCAACCAGGATGCCTGTGGATGGGATCAATATTTGCAAAGGAACAAATATTTGAGATATGGATATTTAATATTTATACTTTTCTTAATTTAAGAAGTTTTAGGAGATTGTTTTAAAATGAAAAATTAAATAAAAAGCGTTTCCAAATTTATTACTAGATTGGCATATTTTACTCTGGTCCATTTTACTTTCGAGCCTTAAGAATGACTGATGGGGATAATTGAAATTCATGAGACCAACATCAAGATTGGTTATTGCTCCAGATGTTACAGTAATTACCTTGTCCTGAAATGTACTTTTAATTAACATAATTATTGTTGTTTTTTCTGCAATTAGTAGTATCTCTTCATTCTAACTAAATCTATGTGTGTACAAATGGAAGTTACTTCCATTTGAGATCAGAATGCTATAACTACTGTAATTGCTGCCTGGATGTCTTATTCTGATTTCTATAGATTAACATTATATATTTGGGATTACTTGTTTTATTTTATCTTACTCTGCTATAGAAAATAGGGCCAAAATAAATATATACCCAGCTAGACTATTACATATATACCCTTCTCAAGCACAATTCATTGGGCATTAATCAGCTAGTAATTAAAAACAATTATTGAGTCTTTCTAAGGACATATAATGTAGTTTTTCTGACAAAATATGGTACTCATTTAAGAGAAGGGAGAAATTTTGTTTGGTTTGCATTTATGACATTGTAACCTCAGAGCCAAAACTATGCCTATTGAAACATAGTTATCTTCTGGATTGTGCACTTTCTGAGTTTCACAATACAGTTTCAGTTCAAAAATTCATAGAAAATGAATAGGAACACTTTTATACAAAACTCAGTGTAGTTTTGAAAGAAAGGGAAATGTAAATATGTGAGAGGGATTATATACAAAAATAGTTATGACTTATTATGTTATTTTTGAAACTTGCAAACAGATGTATATATTGGACAAAACAGATGCAAATTGATACAGAAAAAGACTCATTTGTCCATCCTCAGCCCTGATGGAATTGCAGAATAAAAAGCCCATATTTGTTTACTTTAAACAGTGAAATTGTCTTTTGGAGCTTGATTAGAAATAGCCAAGAGATCAGGAAATTTGATTGCTCTATTCAGTATACTATAGATTAAAAACAGTTGCCACTCTCATTATTGCAATATATGGAATTTGCTGAGCTAGATCTAGAGAATGCAGAGGATACATTTGCAGATGAAGTTAAAGTAGTTTTAAGCCCCCTTCTCAAATGCCAGCGCAGCCCAAGACTGATCACTGATTTAAAGGGCTTCAAAAGCAGATTGGCATGTCATTCAGAAGCAGTCAGAAGCCTGTGGCCTTGATGAATCATAGATTTCAACTGGACTGCATGCAATTACTCTAATGAGCATTCTTTCCACCTATCATTTACAGTTGATTTTAGAATTCCCTAAATAATGAAAGTCTTAATTAGAAGAAAAGTCTGTTGTTTTATCCAACCTCAGGTTGTATCCTGTTTTTTTTTTTTTTAACCAAGCTGTATTCAATAACAGAAGTAGAGAGAGAATGGCATATTATGGAGGGCAGAGGAGGAATTCTCTTGAAGAAAGCCCTTTGGTCTCTAATGGGAGTTCTGGTCAGGCCAACCTCATCAAGTTAGCTCAGGTCAAGTCAGATCCTGACCAGGCACGGATGATGTCCTTGGAGAAAACAGTAGCAGCTGCTTATTGATGTGGATGGATTATATGGTGTCCAGACATTCACCTGAGACTAATGTAGGCATGCATACTCTTGGTGCTTTTATACAAATGTGGAAACGATTGTATTGCTGTTCCAGAGAAACATGGATGCTGCTTTTCATTTTAAAAAATGTTTCAAATATTTCATAGAGCAGTAGGCCTTACCAATCAGTTTTATGCAATGTAATTTTATAGACACCATATAGCCCTTTTCTTGGCCTGAATGTGTTACACCTGAATTTTCAAAATATCATTCCCTGCCCCAGAGAGTCAGATGTGGAGAAGGGGCAGTGCAGAGAAGGAAAAAAAAACAGATATTTTAAATCTATCCAAAGCAATCCACATCTCCAGATCAGGATCAGCACAGCTGCAAAAAGGAGGGAATGGGATATTATCTGGGGTTTTTTTATTTATTTATTTGATTTATATGCCGCCCTTCTCCAGAGACTCAGGGCGGCTTACAATGCGTAAGCTGCCCTGTTTCTTGATTAGAGCCATTTCTTGATTAGAGCTTTAATTCAAGGTTGCTTGATAAAAAATAAGACAAAATAAGCAAAAGTAATGCTGCAACCATATTTTCACTTACCGGTATATAGGAAAATGACCTATTAATTGTGAGGATTACATCTGTGCTGTAAAAATAACCACATTTTAAATATCTTTCTGACAATATTAGCATGTTACATAAATAAGGTGACCAGACGTCCCGCTTTTGGCGGGACAGTCCCGCTTTTGAGCAATTTGTCCCGCGTCCCGCGGCGTTTCAAAAAAGTCCCGATTTTTCTTGAGCCCCAGCTGATGGCTAGAAGAAAAAAAAACTGTTTAAACTCTTTCCCGGGGCTTCAAAGGGCCGCCCTACAGGCAATCAGTGTAAAGCAGTTTTTTTTCCCCCTAGCTAAGCTTCAGAAACGAAACCGAAACCAGGGTCTTTGGTGCAGCGTGACAAAATGAGGCAGAGAGAGATTTATTTTTATTTTTATTTTTCCTCCCCAAAAAAGGTAGGTGAAAAACTGCAAACAATGGGAAATTTAGGAGGAGAGTTCAAGATTTTAAAACACAAAGGAAAAAAAGCTGTATTTAACTAGGGAATTGTAATAATTGAGATACTATTAATTGTATATTGTGTTGAAAGCAGAAATGGTTAAGTTGTGGTTCGGAGGAATATATGGGAGAAATTATTTGGTTTATTATTATTGGTAAATATAATTAATTGATTTGTAAGAAATTGGATTGCATGGAAATAATTGGAATATTCATGTTCATATTGATTAATATACAAAAAAGATAGTTTTATAACTAATTGATTTATATTAAAATGTTGAATTTGTATTAAACAACTGTATTACATAATTACATAATTAAACAATGTGAGGATGGATATAAAAATAGATGACAATGGGAAGGGGTATAATATAGAATAGAAGGGAAAAATTGAATTTGATTAAGATTAGAGATGAGGATGAAGGGTAATATTGGTTTTTTTTAAAAATAGATGAGGAATAAATATGGCAAAAAGGAAATATAGAAATTGTAAATTTAATTGAAATGACTAAACGCTGTTTAAATTTGTGAACCAGCCAAATATTCTGTTCAAAGAAAATACATTGTATGTTTGTATGTGTGTTTCTAATTATTGCTATTTATTCATATTTGTTCTCTTTTATTCTTTAAAGTTTAACAATTCATTCTTTATCTTAATATCTTTATATTTGCTTGGGGTTGGCTTTCTTCCCTTTCATCTTTTTTATTGTACAGCAATCTTTCTCCTCAAACCTACCACCTCTCTCTTTTCTTTCCTTCTTACTTTCTCTTCCCCCCACCCTCTTTTTCTCCTCCCTACTTCCTCTTTCTTTCTCCTTCTCCTCCTCTCTTCCTCCCTCTCTTACCCTCACTCCTACTCTAATTTCCATTCCTTCATCCCTCTCTATTGCTGTAATTCTTTAATGCATATGGACTACTCAGAGGGCTGAAAAAGTTATTTTTGATTGGTCCTCACACTTTTGACCAGTCCTCGAACTTATGACTGTCCTCACATTTTACATTTTTGCCCTATCTTGTCATCATGGTGAAGAGAAGCAGTTGTGAAATGAGTGACATGGTTGTTAAGAATGCTGCATGGGCATAAATGTGAGGATGGTCATAAGTGTGAGGACCAGTCAAAAGTGCGAGGACCTGTCAGAAATGACTTTTTTCAGCTCTCTGGTTAGTCCTTTTGTGCATATGGACTACTCAGAGGGCTGAAAAAGTTATTTTTGACTGGTCCTCACACTTTTGACCAGTCCTCGAACTTACGACTGTCCTCACATTTTACATTTTTGCCCTATCTTGTCACCTTGTTGAAGAGAAGCAGTTGTGAAATGAGTGACATGGTTGTTAAGAATGCTGCACGGGCATAAATGTGAGGATGGTCATAAGTGTGAGGACCAGTCAAAAGGTGAGGACCTGTCAGAAATGACTTTTCAGCCCTCTGAGTAGTCCCTATACACATAGCCATGGCCACCCAGTCACATGACCAGGTAGCCACGCCCACCCAGTCACATGGCCTCCAAGCCACGCCCACACAATAAGCCACGCGCACAATGGTGTCCTTCTTACCAATGTTAAAATCTGTTCACCTTACCCTATAGACATAGCCATGGCCACCCGGTCACATGACCAGCTAGCCACGCCCACCCAGTCACATGACCAGCTAGCCACGCCCACAAAATAAGCCACGCCCACAATGTCCCTCTTTACCAATGTTAAAATCTGGTCACCTTATACATAAACCTTTTTGCTCAGAGTTCCCTAACCTCCTGTTATAGTTGCCCCATATTACCAAGCTTGTTCATTTTAAATTACGTATTGAAATGCACATTGACATCAAAGAAGATAAATGATTCATTTCATTCTTGTTTTTACATTTTGTTTAATTTATAATTTTGTCTTAAGGTATCTTTGTTGGGGTCCATGTGTTAACACATTCATTCATTTATATACTGGTCCTCTGCCATTATAGAACTTTATGAAATATATGATCTTCAGTAGAAAGCTTTAATTTGCTTTAGCAGCTAGGTCAGTTTACCAAAAACAAGTTAGTTGGTTGAGTAAACTGTTAGCTGAACTGTTAGTTCAGACCACAGAAAGATCTCTTATGATTGAATATTCCTGCTTTTATGAAAAAAATCCTGTACATAGATGGAAAATATTTTGGTGAGAAAGGTTTGACACTAATAATTACATTGATACTCCAGTTTTCTGCATGCAGTTAATTTTAATATGAAGGAAGTTTAAGTCATTAATGCCCCAGTGGCAATATGAAGGGGCATAAAGAAGTCATGAATCAATCCCCTGGATTAAAAAGTCCAACAAAAAACACTGAAATGTTTTGACATACTAATGTGATTTTCCCTTAATCTAAATTGAGAGTTGTAGTGGGCATATCTCCTCTTTATTAGATATCAGCCTTCCAGCTTTGCCAAAGTCCGTGAAGAACTATGCAGCACTTACGAATTTGCTGAGATTGGAACAAAGGAGTTGTTCTGTTTCTGCATGACTCCTTGTGAACCTCTGGTTTCCATTATTTGGCATGTTCAAGAATATGTTTCCATAATTGGAACAAGTGGAGCTATGAAATGTTCTCTTTTGAGACTAGTATGGACATGCTTTTCTATTTTTCAAGGCAAGAGGAATTTTACGCTTGAGTGGCAACAGTGTCGTTTTGAAGCTGCAGTCAAATTATGGGTTCATGGAGGTCAGATATTGGTTTTCATTTGGTATCTTTACCTAATGGAGCCTCTATGCGATATCTAGCTCTAATAGCTTGCAACAGATGTGGATGGAGTAATATTTATGTTCCATAATAAATATGAAAAAAAGTTTTAAAATCCAATTATGCCTGACTTAATGCAAGCATGCTTATTACACCAGAATTAAGAAGGTGCTGGCCAGGTTCCGAAGAAACCATGACATTAATGTGGTGTACCAGGAGTGGCTTTAGATCAGTTTTCTTGAACTGATGGCACACTGCTCTGAAAACTGCTGAGTTTTAAAGGAAAAGTTTGACACAAAAATGGATAATCATCTCAACTGTTCAAAGGGGAAGATACTAAATCTGGTGCCTATGCAACTTTTGGATTCTGAGGATGTCTGATAACAATCTCTACCACACAAATCTCTACCAACTACTGTAGACTTTTAATGCCTGGAAGTTAAGGTAATCTCTGTTAGAAAAGTGACTTCCTTTTCCCCTAAACCATTCAACAAAGTATAATTCAAAGTAAGCATTCTTTTCAAGAAATTACCATTGATTTAATTATTTATTCATTCATATTTCATCTTTTCAGCAGAATATGATTCAAACCAAAGCAACTAGAAATTAAAAAAATAGATTATTGGAAGAGTAAATACTGATCTAAAAGCAACAACAATTTCAAATCTAACAATTTGTTGTCTGACAGTAAAAGAATCCAGGAAAGCTGGATACAAGCTCGTGATAGAACAAATGTTCTTTCTGACCCCTTATTCCTAAACCATTTTGCAGCTTTGAAGGGCCAATCCAGCTTCGGCACCTTGATATTCATATCAGTTACTGACTGCAAGTGAAGATTTTGAGGGTGCAGGTGTGTGGCTGCTTAGACTTAGTCCCAAGCAGCTCATGAAGCCAATAACTGTCAGAGCATGTATCATATCTATTTAGTACTCAGCCATACATAACACATCTGGAGGGTGAATATGCCTAATCTCCAGAAAACACACCCACACACTTTTAGCAGGCTTTGCTTCATCTGCTTTGTGATATGTTAATTAACTCTGAAATGCCCTCTTTTCTTTGTTGATTCAGAAGACAAAGAGAACAATTGTTCTTTCAGTGAAGGATACATTTTTTAAAAAATGATGTGTTATCAGTGGTTAGAACCAATAGTACTTTGTGGCTGATGTGTATAAAATGGCAATCTGTGGTACTGCAAAACATCAGGCATTTATATATGGTTATGGGGGGGGAATAACCCCCTCTTTGGGTTAGAAATTGCATTGTTAAGGACAAATTGGTCCTTCTACTTCAAATTCAGATATAATTCTAGCAATTCAGACTAACAACATTTTAATAAGGAATCCCAGCAGACCAAAATAGGAACAAAATCAACGATTTTCCATGGACAGGCCAGAAAACAGTTCCTGTTTTTAATAACATGGGCAGCCAGGATGTGTGCTACCTTTTAAAATGTGATTCAGTGCAGTTTGGTTTTTAAGAAAATTGTCTTTGAATAAAAGGGTGCAACCCATTTAGAGCCTACTCATAGGCATTGTTTATGTGTCTCCTTTGCCAAACAAGTCCCAAAGCTATGTGCAGGGTCAACAGGGGGCATGCTGTCATAGGGGCAGGGCAAATGCGTGTGACCTGCATGCTCTCTTCAAATGGTCTTAACCATAATAAGATATGTGCTATTCATCTTAGGTTTGCTTCAGTTTAAACAATTGAGTTAGGGCTGTGCAAATATTTTTCTGGTAATATTTGCCTCTGCTGAATAAAAAGCTTTATATCTGGGAGAAGCATGCATACTTATATCAAAATGTGACTTGAGTAGATACCCCTGTCTGATGAATAATATGAATTAAAAAATCCATTAGTTTCCTCTAATCCCAGCGATGGCTTCCTAAATGCATTACTTTTGAAGGAGAAGGCAAATTGCTCTTGTACCTGGTATGAGACGGCCTTAATAATTCTGGCTAGAAGCAATTTTTATTTATTTCCCTGTAGGTTTTAATAGATGTGCAGTGTTATAACTAGGAACACACTATTCCTTCATCTTGTCAAGTCCTATTTCTCCTTACATCAGCTTGTGGGTGATAGTATTCAGCAGGTTTCTGCCTGCAGAAGGCCAGCAAGACTAAACTGCTTTTCATTTTCCAAACTTTTGGCTCAGCAGCCCAGTTGATTTCCTTATAATGTGTGGTTAAGAACCTGACCAGAAGTACAGCATTTCAAAAAAAATTAGTTGAAGCTATCATGTTGAGTATATCAAAGATACAGCAAATCTGATAAGCTAGTGATCAGTGCTATTTTTACAATTTCTTCATAGCCATTTCATCTGATAGTTTGTATATGGGTGCCTATGGCTGTGTATGTGTGCACACATGTACTTTATATAATATTATTTCAATTTATATGGCTACCCATCTCAAATTCATGACTCTGGTGTTTAGAAACAGCAAAATACATTAAAAAATATAGCATATAATAGCACACATGTAAATTGTAGCCCAGGGTAAAAGTAAATTCATCAATAGCAAATCAACATAACCAATAACATCTGCTGATCCCCAGGTTTGGTGACAGAATCAGATCTTCAATGCCAGTGTAATCTTTGGAGAAAGAATATTCCAGAGTGCAGCTGCCATGAAGGAATAGGCTCTCTACCTGTGGCCCACCAAGGGCACTCCCAAATTTGTGGGAACTTAAGTATGCCTTTTGCCAGATCCAATGGGACAGATAGACATAATTGAGGAAAGGTGGTCACTCAAATAACCTGCCCCATACCACAAAGAGCTTTATAGGTTGCATCTTGCATTGAGCCTGGAAGCATATGGCAACCAATGTAGCTCATGGAGCAGAGGTGCTACATGTGCTGATTGAAGAATGCACATAAATGCACACCCTGCAGTTTTGCACCAACTGTAGCGTCTGGATGCTCTTCAAAGGCAGCCCCATGTAAATTGCATTGCAGTAGGCCACTCAGGAGGTAATCAAGGCATAAGTGATTGTGAGCAGGGCCTCCCAGTCCAGGAAAGCGGCATATAATCCAATCCAACAGCAGCCACAAGTCCAGGAGGACCAACAAATTGTACACTGGGGGAGGGCAGCCTCATCCAAACTTAAAGATAGAGAATCCGAGAACCAGGGGGCCCTAATATCCAAAATCACCCAGCACTGAACTGCAACATATAGTTCCCTTCCAAACCCCATGGTCTTTAATCACTGAGGCAGTACCTCCATGATATTGTTTGGGCATCCAGGATGGAAATGTAAGGAAAATATGATGTATTTTATTCAACTGCATATTTAAATATATTGGTTTCATACTGACAAGACAAGGAAATCCACTAAATAGTTGCTTTCCACATGAGACAAATATCTGTGGATAAGGTGAGTTCATGGACAAATATTATAGACAATGAGCTATGATAGATATATTCATAGACAATGAATTTGTCAGGCAGTTATAGATGCACCTATATATTCTAGATTAGGATACTGCTGCATTGATTGTTATAATAGCTCACATTATTGGAATAATTTCAAAACAATTTAAGGGTTCTTTTACCTGGGTTGTTCTAAAAATTGAGACAAATTATCAGTTTGGTGTGGCCAAACAATACATATTGAAGCTTTGATGTTAGACTGTGTTTTGTTAGCTTCAAAAAGTATTTCAGTGTATACAGTATGTTTAGATTTGATCCACATTCCACAGAGAGTACCAGTATTAAAAAGTTTTTCCATTCCTCCCTTCCCTCCCCTCTGGTTTTTGGCATGGCCAAAAGAAAAGAAATAGCATTCTTTTTTGTTTCTGTCATTTGCTTGTCATTAAACTGTGCTATCAAGTTACTTTTTTTTTTCACTAACATTCAGAAATTGGACATTATATATTTTGAAAATGGCAATGGAAGTTTGAGAAAACAAACTTTCAAGAGCGAGGAAAAGCTGAAACTGCATGTTGTAACGTGAAAGAATTATTTATATTTGGGGTGTTTTTTTGTTACACATTTGTATTATATTTTTGTCTTTAAAATTTTGTTAATGTTACCTGCCATTGCTGTGGTTCATTTGAAATGCAATAAATCATATAAGGCTATTAAAAAGAAATATGGAAATCTATAAACTAGTGCACTGGGGGGAAAAATGGAGCATTATGCTGAAAAGATGTCCATTGTCAAGGTGGATAAAGATTTAGCCTCTGCCTAAACTGAAATAAGATTGTCCATACTTTGTTGCTAAGATGGGAATGAAGAGGCAGGGCAGCCTGTGCAGCCAAGTCCTTTTTTCAAGCTGAAAATCTATAACAGAGTTTCTTACCATTCTGATGTAAAGAATACACATGTACATTCATACCCATATGAGGTATTAATTTCTCAGGATTCAAGATTATTAGGATTCAAACTATTATTTATCCTTTCCTAAAATTCCCACCAGCCGTCAAAATAGAGTTTGGATTCAGCCGTAAGAATAGGCTATGGCAAAACAAAGGTGCTCTAGAAAAATAATAACAAATTTCATGCTATTCTACATCTCATGTGAAATTAAAAAGGTAAAAATAACAACTACCACCACATCTTGTAATACAGTTTCTTTTAAAATTCATGTGATAACAGGTGGATGCTATACATTTCTTACAAATCCTTCTTTTCTTTTTGCAGAGATTATTTCACAGCATAGTTAGAAGAGTAGCAGGGATGCTCAGCAGCAGGATGCTGTAAACATCAGTCGTGTTGGATATTAGTAGGTCTTTGAAAGAAACATTCTTCAGAGGGAAAGGACACAGTGAAATCTAATACTCTCATTTATGACTGTCGATGGAACACTCAAAACATTATTAAGCTGTTCAGTATAAACTGTGGGAGGTGTTGGTTTTCTGTGGACTTAATTCCACCGATTTGCTTGTTCTCCAGCATTCCATTATTGAGTAATTTGGAGATAATGTGTCATATTGGGAATCAATGCTCTGTTTTCATGTACTAATAGCATTGTAGCAATTGTCCAGGAAGCAGGGGGGGGGAAATACTTTGACTACTGACAATAAACATTTTCATAAATAGTGGGCTGTGGCCATCTACCATTTTATTTTCTAAGAAGGTCTGTGGGGTCTATAAACTTTGTGGAGGTGAAGCTGATGTGCTGGAAGTTTGTTTTCCAGTACGCCATCTTCCTTTTAAATCCTGTATGTGTTAGGATACCTGCTTCCAGGGATATTGCCACTAGGCACTTTATTATAACTTTGGAATCAGATGTAACTTATTTCCAGCATATTCACTTAAGTGGGCAAGCCTCTTTTTTAATTAAACTCAGTTCATTCACCCCTCTTCGCTTCTTTTACCATGCTGAGGAGCTGGTTCCAAACAGTCATAACCTCCCTTGTATCAGTTGAAAAATGACACAAGTTGAGTACTGTGCATATACAGCACATGTCTCACTATTGCATGAAAGGTAGCTCTTTCTTTTACTGTGCTTACAAACAAGCCTAGGTATTTCTGCTCTATGGGTCCCCTCTTTCCTTCCTTTAAAAAAAAAACAACTATCTAATATCTTCCAGTAATGTCTATAAAATGCTAACTGCAAAGATCTGCACAAGTATGTTATCCAAGTTGATATTTTGGACCATGTAGCAAAAAGAGCAAATAATTATTAATTGCATTTTATTACGTTGAGCCAAAGAAAACCATTACTTCTCTTTGAAAATATGGTTCAAAGAGAAGTCAACAATAAAATTATATCTCATATATGCAAATCTGTATCTGTTATTTTGTTTCAATTGCAAATGAATGTGCCTGCTCCCACTGCGGTCTTCCCGCTGCAATTTAAGACCCTCCACCAGAAATACTTATTTTATTCCAATTAAACTACCCAGAGTCCATGAGGATTGAGACAGTAGATAAATTGCACAAAATAAACAAATTACAGTAGTTCAAAAATACTTTCCACTTGCAAAGTGAATGCTGTTAAATTGCAGAACTGAATGTTAAAGTACTATGAATTTTAATTTATGAATTTATCCATGTCTGATTATTTTGATATTGCAAAAGCAATAGTAAGTGACATTACCAAAATGATTTAACCAGAATCAGTTTGTTCAATTAATTTAGTTAAACCAACTGAGAATCAATGTCTGGCCACTCTTAAAGGTATTTGCATTTAGCCTCTATTGATTCATTAAGGCTCCAAGCATGAAAAGATCTACTGCTTGAGAAAGTCATTCTTGAAGAAATCATTGTGCCTTTTAATGAACACCACCTTACATTTTGTGGCATCAGTTCAGGAGTGTATTTGTGGTCATTTACTTTTGGCTGAAATAATATTGGGATATTGAATATTGCAATGCTTTGGGAGGTGGAAAATTGGTCAGTGTTCTATGGAAATGTCAGATAACTTGGAAGAATGTTTCATTGTTTCATTCTAAGACACTCTGCTTTTGTTCAGTCAGGGCTTTTTTGGCAATATGGTTAAATTATCTGGAATTTCCTTTCCATGTGATTCTACCTCCAAACATCTTTTCCCCCCTACAAAACATGTATGTTCTTTTTTTTAAAGTATTTATGTAGTTAATTTAAATGTATAGTCTCTATCTCTGCAGCTGTTGCATTTTTTAAAAGGAAATTTCCTACACAGCAGTTTTGATTAACCTGTCAATATTGATGAAACTTAAGAAGTGCAAAGAATATGTCCATGTGGGTTCTGTGTGTGCAGAGACATTGAATGCTGCATGCAACCAAGAGAAAATTGGTTATTTACTTGCTTTCAAGAAAGCCTTTGGGAACATATGTATAGACATGTGCCTATTTGTGCATGTATGTATTTATGTATGTTTATATCAGGGATGTCAAACTCACTGCATCAAGTTGTTGTCATATGACATATTGTGACTTTTTCCCCTTTGCTAAACTGGGGGTGGGCATGACACATCCGGCCTGCAGGCCGTGAGTTTGACACCCATGGTCTATATAATTTTCTTATAATTTGTAATTTGTCACTGGAATTTTAAATATGATTTTATGTTATTTTAATATCTGTAGATCCCCCCCAGCATCTATAATTGAAATAGAGGAAGGAAGGAAGGAAGGAAGGAAGGAAGGAAGGAAGGAAGGAAGGGAGGGAGGGAGGGAGGGAGGGAGGGAGGGAGGGAAGTCACTCTTCCAAAACGTTTTTAAATGCTGAATAGTATTAAAGTTGTTATAGTATATAAAGTTGTTATATAGGGTATTTCTGTTATGTAGACTTACTGAAAATATCATGGACTTGACAATACATAGTGTTGACAAAATTGGACACCTAATTACAGGTATTTCTGAAATCAAAGTCAATATTTCAAACAATACAATTTTAAGCACTTTCATAATATCCGAAGACATTCATATACTATTTGTTCACCATCGGTACACACCAACCATAGTTTTAGATGTTCCTGGGAGGGATGAACAAAGAATGCCAACAGCATGCTTCCCAGCAGGGTTACCCAAGGTATGAAGGTCATCTCAGCTGCCCACCTAAGACAAGCAGGAACCTCTTTCAGACAACAGCAACATTGGATGATGCTGGAGGCAGTCTATCACTTTAGTGGCAGTGGGAAAGCCATTCATAATATGTGGAAGACGGCAACAAAAACCATATGGATAGAAAATGTAAAATGATTGATGACATAATGTTGGATGATTGGCCTCTTAAGTGGATGGCATTCAACATGCTACTGTGGAAGAGATGCGGAATTTTTGGAATACAAGTGGTACAGGTAGTCCTCGTTTAGTGACTGTTCAAAATTACAACAGCACTGAAAAAAGGAACTTATGATGGATTTCACACTTATGACCACTGCAGCATCCCCATGGTCATGTGTATAAATTCAGATGATTGGCAGTTATGATAGATGCTGTGTCCCAGGGTCATGTGATCACCTTTTGCAACCTTCTGACAAGCAAAGTTTATGGGGAAGCCAGATTCACTTAAAGCTGTGTTACTAAACAACTACAATGATTCACTTAACAAATGTGGCAAGCAAAGTTCGTATAATGGAGCAAAACTCACTTAACAAATGTCTTGCTTAGCAACAAAAATTTGGGGCTCAATTGTGTTCATAAGACTAGGAGTACCTATATTTGAATTATTGTAACAATGAGATGGACAGCATATACATTTAATAAATAAATGAATACAATTTGTGATGTAAGTAGATTAAAGCTTTTGGAATATCCAATTTCTATTGTTGTTGTACAGGAAAAGAAACTTTGATGATAGAATTACAGTAGGAAAATGGAATGTAAGAAACATTAACAGTGGCAATTGGTGCATATTGATGTTATGACCTAGCTCCCCAATCATGACAAACCCTCTGTAGTTAAATCAATGATTCCTTTATTAGGAGCGACAGCAGCCCTGGAAAAAAGTTTCTCTCACTCAGGCTAACCAGTCTGTCCGCAGGGAGATGAATAGTTGTCTGCCACATTTATTCATCTCTGCCCCCTGCCTTTTATCCCCAGAGCTAGGGTGGGGCTTCACTAGCAGCTGTGGCTCTTCTGTCCCAAGGATTGGCCCACATATTTCCTCAGCTCTCCTCTCCTCTTCTCTACCTTCTGCACATCTGCGTGTCAGGAACTGGACCCAGCTGTTCCGCCTCTTCCTCATCAGCACCTCCAGATCTGGGGGCTGTTGACTCTCCATCTGAGGGTTGATGGATGGCCCAGGCTTCGCCTCTGTGTCTCTCTCTGACAGCTCCATTCCCTTTTCCCCCTAGGAGCTCTCAGGTTGTTTGATGCTGACCCTGACTCCTACGCTTCCTCATGTGATTCGACTGCCCATCTCAATCAATGTCTCTAGGTAGCTTACAATTCCAAAATTATAAAAATTATTAAAACTATATAAAAAAAAAAGCTTAACATTTCTTCTTTAACCAGTCTACAAATCAACTGAGATAGGACTCGCAGAAAGGGTGTGAAAATGTAATAGCTAAATAATTAAATAAATAAATAAAAAGTAATATATTAGTAATAATATTTAATGTAAAATTCATCCCCACATACTTTAAAAACCTTTTATGTGGCTGAGGTTCTTTTTTGCTGTACAGCTCCTGACATATTTCCGATGCTCGCACCCAGTGAAGCAGAGTATCTTAACATTATTGTAAGTTATTATTGTCATCCTTATTATTAACAATAATATATTTCTTTATATAGTTTATGCATTTTATATAGTTGCAAAGTAGCCCAAGGCTGTTTACATGCATTAAACATGCCTATACTTCATGACAATAAAAACCTCCTATCTCATCAGATATTGGAGTCCCTTGAATAAGTACATTCAGGGAAATGAGTGGGATCTGAACCAACATTTGAATCATCCAGTTGCAGTTCCTTGTGACCATGGCTAGCTGCAAAAACTGGAGATGACACTGTGTGTTTTCTTGATGGTCTTTGAAGTGCTGTGCTTGACCTTTCCCTTGCTTGGTCAGCAATGAGACTCCTCCTCCTCCTCCCCCCTCCTCCCTTCTTTGTGATTTGCCTATTCCCTTTCCCCCCTTTTCATCTAAGTCAATTTGAACTGGATTTGCCTCTGCTGCAGTTTTATCTGATAGGCTTGAGCCATCCATGCTCTTTAAACCACTTTTTCTTAGGATTCATTTTCAAATTGTCAGTTGTATTTTTATTTTACTTTATTTCATTGTTAACTCTGTCACGCCCCATCATTTCAAAAGCAAAATATCGCAAAAATGAGAACAGATGACTATTAATGGGGAAGTTCAAATTGAGAAGTTTTTATATTTTAGGTCTAACAGCCTCCAAATGGAAAGCAGTGTATTCACTGACATACATTAGGTATTACCTAATCAAGATCAACAGAGGCATTGGGAATCAATGGCTATAAGGAAGAGAAGTCAAGAAATATATTCTTGAATTAATTTTATGATCTAAGTAATTTTCTTCCTTATTTTCTGTCCCAGTGTCCCCACAGAGGGTTCTGCCAAGTATAATAATAATCTATTATTGTTAGCATTGGTGCTATTGAGCCGCAATGGCACAGTGGTTAGAATGCAGTACTGCAGGCTACTTCTGCTGACTGCCAGCTGCCTACCATTTAGCAGATTGAATCTCACCAGTCTCAAGGTTGATTTAGCCTTCCATCCTTCTAAGGTGGGTAAAATGGGGACCCAAATTGTTGGGGGCAATATGCTTTCTCTGTAAACCACTTAGAGAGGGCTGTAAAAGCACTGTGAAGCGGTATATAATTTTAAGTGCTATTGCTATTTCCCAATTCTTAATTTTTGCGTCCCACAATCCTAAATGTTGCAATTCACAATCCAGACATATTCACTGCTAAATAAAACTTCCTAATTGATAGGAAGCTTTGCTGCCTTCTGTATCAACTCAGCCAGCATCATCCTGTGGATGGTTCACTTCTTGAAGAATAAATATTCTTCAAAATCTCTTCTGAAATACCTGTAATTTGTTACATTGTTTTTCTCTTCCAACTGTTTGCCCAGGAATAATTTTGAAACTCTCTCCCTCATTTGGTAATTATGTAAAGACGGTCATCTTCAGAGAGAGAATTCTTAATGAGAGAGGAGAAGAATTTAAAGCTAATTATTGCCTATTTGAAAAAAAGCCTGATTTGTAAAGATCACTGTGTGAAAATGATCATTTAGCATCTGGCATATTGGGAGAGTTGTACCATATGCGAGAAATGGTATAGCATGCATAGTTCCAAGCAATTTCCTTAGAAAGCTTTTGTTCAAGGC